GAGGAATGGTGAAGGAAGAGAAAAACCCTCAACCAGGTGGATTGACAGTGACTACATCTACATGCAGGCAGGTTCTTTGTTGGAACCATTCTCTTGTCTCCAAGCATCGAGAATACCCTATACACACAAGCTGCTCAATAAATACTTGTTAAAATAACAGATTACTCTTAGAATATATAATTCCACACAACCTAAGCCAAATTATTTTCCAATACTGCTAGTTTCCTTTAAAAGGCCTTAAAGTGAAAAAATGCATGTGGGGAAGAGAGAGATCTGATCATGCAAAAAGTAATCAGGAGAGAAGGTATTGTTATCAGATAAAAATTATCAAGTTAAAAATCTATTATAAGATACAAAAAAATACATATATAAGTAAACTAGAGATAGTGTTGTTGTTGTTACGTGCTACTAAGTCAAACTGCATCTCAGTGACCTGCCCTATCTTGCCGGTCTCCAACCCACCTACCCCCATTACCCCAGTCACTCTATCAGTCCATCTCATCCAGGGTCTTCCTCTCCTGTACTGTCCTTCCACTCTTCCAAGCATGATGTCCTTCTCCAATGATGGGTCCCTCCTGGCAACATGCCCAAAAAATAAGATGGAGTTTCAAATTCTTTGCCTCCAAGGAGCAACCTGACTTCACTCTCCAGGACAGACCTATTAGTACTCTTGGCAGTCCATGACATGCTCAGTATTTTTCTCTAGCTACAACTCAAAGGCATCAATTCTTCTTCTGCCATCCTTAGTCACTGTCCAGCTCTCTGATGCATATCAAGTAATTGAGAAGATCATGGCCTGGATCAGGTGCACCATTGTCTCCAGGATGGTATCACTGGTCTTTAGCACTCTGAAGAGGTTTCTGACAGCAAACTTTCCCAGTGAAACTTGCTAATGCCAAGAGTGTTGACTGTGGATCTGAGCAAGATGAAACTGTTAAAAGTCTCAAGTTCTTCTCTATCTACAATGCTGCGGATCAATAGGCCCGGTGGTGAGAATCTTTGTTTTCTTGATGTTGAGATGCAATCCATATTCAAGGCTGCAATCCTTGACCTTACTGGCAGGCTCCACTGAACAGGTCCAAACTCATACCAACGCTATATACAGCAGGATGAAATCCTACTAGATCTTGCACCATCCTCTGTGTAAGTCCTTAAGATTGAGCTTAAGTCCATCATTGCAGTCACAGTAACACTCTTCCTCACAGAATCTTTTTTCTTCTTCACTAATTCTTCAGTTTGCCAATTATCTTTTTCCAGATGTCAGAACTCAAGTGATCAAAGTACTTGAGAGAAAGTCTCATACTAGTATCTAATGAGCAATCCTGCTACACTTCCGAGAGTTTGTTCTTTTGACCATGCATGATATATTCAGTACTTTTGTCCACACAATGCAAAGGCATTAATTTGTTGGTCTTTATTTCAGTTGGCTTCAGAAGAGGCTATGAACAGGGTTATCATGACTGAAATCAACTGTTATCTTGGCTGAAAGCAGAGAATACCAGAAAGATGTCTACTTTTTATTGATTATGCAAAGGCATTCAATCATATGAATCATAGTAATAACATCTAGGAAAATAATTAATCCTGAAACATTTAATTGTGCTCCTGGGAAACTTCTATATAGGACAAGGAGCAACTGTTCAAACAGAACTAGAAGATATTGCTGTTTTGTGCTACTGACTATAACCCATAGTGATCCTGTCAACAGTGACTTGGACCCTGCTTCATCCTGTGTTCTCACCATCTTTGATATCCTTGAGCCCACTGTTAGTTACTGTGTCAATCCTTATTGATGAGGGTCCTCCTCTTAAACTGACCCTTCACCTTTCCAAACATAATTTTATTTTCAAAGGACAGGCCCCTCCAAACAACATGCTGAAAACATGTTAGATAAAGCTTCACCCTTCTTTTCTTCAAAAAGCACTTTCTACAAAATTCATTGTTCTTTTGGCAGTCCATGGGATATTCATTTCTCTTCTCCAACACAACTCAGAGGCATCAATATTTCTTCTGTTGTCATTAGTCACTGTCTAACTTTCAGATGCAGTTTAAAAGAAAGAAAGGAGTGCATCATAGTTGTAGCCATTCACCAAACATGATAAAGTAGGATAAAATATGCATCTCAGAGCTGGACAATGACTAAGAATGACTGAAAAATTGATGCCTTTGAATTGTGGTACTGGAGAAGAGGGGTGACGATACCATGGGATGCCAAAAGAACAGAGATGTCGTGAAGATGCAGCAGCCAGGGTGCTCCTTGAAAGCAACAACTAATTCTCATCTCACGTATTTTGGGAATGTTGCTAGAAGTTATTCCTTGGCAAGGGACATCATACTTGGGAATGACAGTGGATATGGGGAAGATCTGTGACCAGATGGGTTGACACACTAACTGTGACAACGGGCTTGAATATGTCAGAGATTGTCAGGATGGCATGAGATAAAAAACAGTGCTCACAATGATTGTTCATAGGGTCGTTAATTAATGAGTCATACAAACATTCTTCTAGGTGGTATAACACTGCTCTATTTGCTGTACAGAGGTAACTCATGGTTGCTGTGATGCTGAAAACTGTGACCCTAATGTGCCAAATGTGATATTAGTCACCCATGGTGGACAGTGTTTAGTGGAGCTCCCCGATTCAAACAAGCCTGGAAGCGGGAGTGGCATCCACTTCTGAAATAGCTTGCCTCTGGAAATCTTATGAACTTGGAGAAATGAAAAGTGTTCAGGTCTCTTGCTCATAGGGTCGCTGAGTCGCCTATGACTAAATGGCATTTAACAACAACTCGATTCAATGGCACGTAACAACAAATCACAATGCTCAAGAATCAGTGGGATACCAACCATCATGTTCAACAAATATATGCAATGCTGGACATGCTCAACATTCTATGCCAGAAAATCTGGAAAACAGCTCCATGGTCAACTAACTGGACAAGAGCCATATTTATTCCCAGTCCCAAAAAGTGTGATCAAATAGAATGTGAAAATTGTCAAACATTATCATTTACAGCACATGCAAAATAAACATTGCAGAAGTTTATCCACAGCTAGAATAGTAGTATATTGACAGAGAACTTCTAGAACTTCAAGCTGAGTTTAGAAGCAGCCATGGCACACATCAGTATTATTGCCAATGTGAGATGCATCTTGGCAGAAAGCGGAGAATACCCCAGAAAAATGTCTATTTGTATTTTATTGACTATGCAAAGGCTTGGACTGTGGGTCATAATAAACTATAACACTCAGAGAATGGAGTCCCAGAAGATCTAGTCATAGTCATACAAAACCTATGCCTAGATGATGAAGTGGTTAGGCAAACAGAACAAGGAAGCAATGTACAGCTTAAAATCAAGAAAGATGTTCAAGGATTTATCTTTTCTACGTATCTATTCAATCTGTATCATAAAGTAAAATGTAGACTAAGGATCTAAGAAGTCTCATCAACACCTATATTATGAAGGTGACACAACCTTGCTTGATGACAGTGAGGACTTGAAACACCTGCTGAAGATCCAAGACACCTTCAATATGGATTACATCTCAACATCCACTTGGGCAATAAGGAGCAGCATGGATAGATGGAGAAAAGACAGAAATTGTCAATAATTTAATCTTATTTAGGTCCATAATCAACACCCTTGGAACCAGTAGTCAAGAAATCAAGATTCATTGCACTGGGAAAGTCTACTGCTAAGGGCATGAGTACTGAGGAGCAATAATGTCAGCTTGAAGAGTAAGGTGAACCTGATTCAAGCCATGATCTTTTCATCATTTGCCATGCTTCTGAGAGCTAGACAATGAATAAGGATGCTTTTGATGTTGTTATATACCACAGAGTTGGAACCAATACACAGTTGACCCTCCAGTAAATCACTTGGGAGGAGACTGCCCATCTTTCTCCCAAAGAGAGTCTGGTGGAGTCAAATTACATGGGTGGAGAATGCCCATCTTTCTCCCGTGGAGTTGCTGGTGGATTTGAACTATGAACCTTTGAGTTGGTAGTACTATTTCTTACAACTAAGCCACTCAGAAGTATCAGTTTTTGAGTTGTGATGCTGAAGAAGAGTACTGAATCATGGACTGCCAAAAGAACAAATAGGTATGTCTTGGAGAAGGTGAAGCCAGAGTGTTCCTTAGAGGCAAGGATGGCAAAGCTTCGTCTCTCATATACTTTGGGCATATTGTTAGGAGGGGCTAATCCTTGAAAAGGGATAACATACTTAGAAAGGTGGAAATATCAGCGAAAGTGAGTAAGAGCATCAATAAGATGGACTAATACAGTGACTTTAACAATGGGCTAAGTAGGTAAGAGATGAAGAGGATGGCATAGGGTAGGACAGAGTTCAGATCTGCTGTTCAGTCACTATAAATCATACAAGACTCAATAGCATAGAACAACAACATAGTATTCTGAAATACATAAATACTAACAAAACCTAAAGCAGTAAGAAAACCACACAGTAATATGTGAGTAGTTCAATATTCTTTCTTCTTTGTCAGCTACTCACAAGCAATTCAAAGGCATATAACAACAGTCCAATATATATTGGATTTAAACAACAGCATAACTAATTAACACCATAGAGGAATTCTACTATTTTACTAAATATTTTTCTAAATTACTCTTATGAAAGAAAATCTACATGGAGAAAACAAAGGAGGCTTTCTTTCACATTATAAAACTGATTATATTACCCTAATTGAGCCAAAAATAGACAACTCTGGAAAAAATGTTCTATAAAACTGTTTCAATATAATTTTATTAGCAGTTATTACATTAAAAATCACATTTACAGGACTGTTTCAGAAAATTCTAAACCATATATAATTTGATCTTAACAGCAAAGTAGAACCTATTCTCATTATAGCACAGCCCTTAAAAGAAAATACTGAGAATTAAGTGCAATTCAGTCAAGAACTAAAAACAAACTCTGTGTTCATAACGCGATGTAAAGCAAAGTTCAACACAAAAGTACAACATATTTTTATGAACATGAATTTCAATGGTAAACATCATTGGCTTCTGAATAACAATTAAAAGAGATTTCCAATCAAAACACAAGCACAGCGGCTTTCATGCAATACAGAGCCATGATAATTCCATAAAGAGACCCTGAATCCTTAAGTACTTACAATTTTATGCTGTGACACTAGTACAAAACACATCAATTCTAATGCACAGACTGTGACAAATTATGACAACAAAATATAAAGGGAAGCCTTTTTCTCTATCAGAAAATTCCGATTTTTCCAGTGTAGTGCAGGACAGTTATGTCATTGCTGATCTAGTGAAATTCTACGTCCTCCAGCTTGAGCAGTATTGTAGGATTCACAAATGTTACATTTCATGCCTAATATATGGAACTGGACTGTGGATCGCCCATTGCAATCATTACAAAGAATCTGAAAAAGAGATGAACAAAGATTAAGAATATTAAATCTTCCATCTACAAGATGACATTGTCTGCTCAAATGAAGCCCTTAAAGTCCTATTAAAGAAGTAGAAATATAAATGTAAGCCTAAATATTTCTATCAGTAGAAATACCTTTTTAGATTTACCCACTGAAATTTTTAAGAAGTGACTAAAGTAGCTTTGAACTTAGAACATGAAATTTTCCAGGCAAACTTCAACAAAGGTGATTTTAAAAAAAAATAAATTTTTAAATAGTATAAATAATACTAGAAAGAAATGTATTGCAGGGATAATTGGAATAACTTAGAAATGAAAATGAGTTCTTAAAACTGAGATCACAATATGGTTATAACATTTTTGCTTATTCTTTGGATTTAATATATAAATTACCAATCTCCTATGATTTAGGAATGAATTAAAGTCCAAAACAATATGAGTTTCTAAAACTGAATAAAGAGACCCCAAAGCAAAATAAGATGCATTTGGAAATGAAACTTTTAGTACTGAAATCCTGAAACTTAGAGAGTATTAACTTAAAAAAAAAAAAAAACCCAGTACATTATTAAGAAAAGGACTAAATTAAGAAAAGCTGCAACATTTTTGCTTTTATATGCCATCGAGTTGCCTGTGACTCATAGCGACCCAATGTACAACAGCCCTAAACCTGCTCTATCCTGTGCCAATCTTAACTGTCTCTGACATACCTACCCCCATTACCCCAGTCACTGAATCAATCCATCTCATCCAGGTTCTTCCTCTCCTTTGCTGTCCTTACACCCTCCCAAGCATGACGGCCCTCTCCAAGGACTGGTCCCTTCTTGCAACATGTCCAAAGCATGTCGGATGAAGCTTCAGAATCCTTGCCTCCAAGAAGTAGCCTGGCTTCACTCTCTCCAGGACAATCATAAACAATGTTGTTGTTGTTAAGTGCCATCGAGTCACAGGTGACATAGCGACCCTATGAAGAGAGTCCTCAATGCTTGGCTATCATAAACAATAGCAAGTAAAACTTCTGTATTTGCTTCAGCTTTTAATTTTTGGGGGGAATCTCTTAAAATCTGATTTGCAGACAGAAACTGAATGGGTACTAGGTTTCTGGGTTTTGGGTACTCGGTTTCTTTCATGTTATGGCACACTAGGCCACTATGAGTCAGTGCTGACAGCATTAACAACAGAGTAGGGGATATCGGAGAAATGGGGATGTAAATACAAATTTGTAAATACAAGAGGTGATGAAAATATTTTATAACCGAATTGTGATGTTTGGACAATTCTATGTACTTGGAGTCAATTTTAAAGGAAATTTATGGTAAATATAAAGGTGCTATAACTCTTATCCATAGGAATTATACACATTGTTATAAAAATGCTCCAGAATGAATAATCTGTCTTTAGTACGTAGATCTTAAGGAGTTCTGATAGTACAACTATTAAAACACCTGGCAGCTAATGTAATGGTTGATGGTTCAAACTCATCTAGCAGCTACACACAGAAAGACCTAGTTATCTGCCGCCATAAGCACAACTGCCTAGGAAACTCTGTGGGGCAGTTCACATGGGGTCACTATGAGTCAATTAACACAGCACCTAACAACACTTGGTTTAATAATGTACGTACTGTGAACAAAAATATTTTCTTTATACTGAGGTATTCATAAAATTCTTATGTTAAAAAAAGTATTAGAAAGCTAGCTAGCTTTCAAATTGTGATTCATAACTCAGTGTTATGCTGAAAACAGACAACAGTCTATTTACAGAATCTCTTAACTAGTGGAAAAAAGAGACACAGAAATACTTCCCATACTTTAGATTAAGGGCTGCTGCATGCCATCAAGCAGACACTGACACTGTGAGATCCCCACAGGGAGGCCTAAGTTGGGAGCAGTTTACAGGGTTTTTCTCCCACACAGCAGTTTGGGAGTGCAAAACATGAGTCTTTCCTTTTGCACCCAAGTGTTTATTAACCATTTCTCACCAGGGCTCTTTGGGTTTCAGGCTAAAAAAGATCTAAGCAAGGAAAATCTAAGATATAATGAGAAGAGCAATAAATATTTAAAACCAAAATGCAACATTTAAAAAAAATTCTCCTGAAGTAATTTTTTTTCTTTAAAAAGCAAAACAATTAAAATTAAACATCAGATCAATGACTGACCACCAGTATAATACTGATTCTGCTGGCAAGTAATGTATAAAGAATTCAGGAGAAGGTTGTGTCTGCCATCTAGTGTTGAGGAAAACCATAGGTATTGGGAATTTCTATCTGGAGTTTCTGTATGGTACCAGCATGAAGTAAATGAAACATTACTTCTCACCACACTGGGATCCATGTCAAAGCAGTAAGTAGTTGTTATACAAAATTTGAGCCAAGGGAAAAAATAAAAAAGAATATTGACAAAGAACCTGAAAACTTCTAAGCAGTCGTCTACTTACATCCACAGTCATATTCTGATATTCTGATGGCATAGGAGTCTGTGCTACTTCATCATCCAGCTGTCTCCAGTACCTAGTCATGTCTAAAGCTGAGTGCATACATAATGGACATCGGTAGCCTCTAAAAGAGATTGAATGGTTATCTTTTAACATTAACTGGTGAGAATATCAACTCAAGGATACAAAGAGATACAAACTGACTGGCAGAGAGACTATCTAAGACAAAGCTTACTCTATACTTCAAGACAGACTATTAGGAATCTGGACAGCTGGACAATATAAGGTCTTAAATGAAATCTTGGCTCTTGTACTGTATTTTAAAACGACTTCTTTTTCCTTAGTTCTCCATTATGGAGAAGAATTAATCTACATTCTCTGTAGAATATAGTTTTATATATATAATTTAAAAAAGCTATTTCTTAGCAAAGTAACTTCAACATCTTAACACATTTATGCAAAATAAAGAGACTGTATTCCCTAAAAATTACTCAGATAATTTTCCTTTCTAAAAATTCTGAAGGAGATGAAAAAGTCTCTTATCTAGTTCTTGTACAAACTGAAATTTCTTATCAATTTGCAGGACCAACTGACAATTAATAGTCTCCTATTACTTAACTGTATCATTTTAACATCCTCTTCCAAAATCATTTTAGTCAGGACGGATTATCACAGTGACACCTATCAGAGATCATGAGGATAGTGCAAGATAGGACATGATTCAAACTGTGTGTTACCTATGACTGCCTCCAGCAGAGACTGATAGTCACTGATAAGCACTGCCAAAAATTCAGAGGCATTTGTCTTAAATTAAAGAATGAAATAAGCATAACAGAAACATGAAGATAAAGGTATAATTATACTCCCTAAGATGCTCTACTCAGTTAACACTATCCCTAGACCCTCCAACCATCTCAATATGTCATACCCAACACCATAAAGGTAGTAGGAATGACTGATTGCCCAGCTCCCAGCTAACAAAAAAACCCCTTAAAATGATATTTTTAAAATCTCAACACTCACTCTTTCAACATTTCTTCATAACATGTTCTGAAAAAAAAAAAAAACAAACAGAAACAAACAAACATTATTTTATTAATACAAAAACTATCTCCACCATTTTCGAACATCACTAAAGAGAAAAAACCAAAGGTACATTACCTATGTAAAAGATGTCCACATGGCAGGACATGAGCTACAACACGAGATGTATGAATATCCTGTTAAGGAAATAAATGCCAGAGCTCATATGAAAACTAAATAAATTTCCAAATATTTTAAATTCAAAATGTGATTTTTTTTTCAATGTAAAAGCCAACAAGTTGTATTTTAAGCCTACCTCCAGACATATTGGACAATTCTGTCGGGAGACATTTTCAATACACTGTTTAAAAGAGAAATTCACATTATCAAAAGCTGAATGGTGTGAACACATCTGATATAACAAGACAATTAATAAAAGCAAATGATGGCACAGGACAGAAAAGGGTTTAGATCTTTTGTTAATAGGGTAGTTGAGTTGTACTCGCCTCAACAGCACTTAACAACAACATCAATTTAGGAGTTCTGGTAAGGAGCTGTGCTACCAACGCAAAGGAAGGGAGTTCAAGTCCACCAGGAGTTCCTCAGGAGAAAGATGGGCATTCTCTTTCCATGCAATTTACTGTCTCTAAAAACCCGCTGGGGCATCAACTCTGAGTAGGTTCCAACTTGGTGGAAAACAAATACTGTTATCAATTTAAAATAATAGTTAACTTTCAACATTAAAATTTATAACTTATAATACAGATCTCTGTCAGCACAGTCTATAAGGAGTTGGGTGCCAATGCAAAGGCAGCAATTCACTGGGGAAGAAAATGCCCATCTTTCTCCTGCAAAGCAACTGGTGAACTCAGAGCAATGGGTGAACTAGATCTATGTACCTTTGTATTGGTAACACAACTCCTTAACACTAAGCCGCCAGAGCTCCCTTAAAAGACAAAAAGAATAATCTTTCAAAGTAGTTAAAATTTAAAACCTAGATTGTAATGCACAACAAAATATTCTTCCTCAAGATTACGGTTTTCTTGTTCTCTATATATTCCATTATTTTCAATAAGAATTACACTTTAAAACAGAAAATGTTAAAAGACTGTTGAATATCACATCACATATTTTTTAAAATTTTAAATAAAAATCTGGCTTGTAACTTCAGCTGTGTCACATAGTAATCCTTAGTATCTTGGACAATTTACTACTTCTTCCCCTTACTAATATATAAAACAAACTATTTTTTAATTATACTAGTGTATCTACAAAATTCGAATACACTGTTTCTCATAAAACAAAACTCTTTTTAAGGGACATTTTCCACATACATCTATCTCAACATCTCTAGAATCACAATGTATCTGAAAATCAAAGGCATCTTCTAGCTGATGAGACACAAAGTTGTGGTAAACACACAATGAGTTGGTTTTATGTACACAGAGTCTATGGAACCATAGAATGCCTAGAAATGTAAACTCTAAAAAGCTTCTGACACATGGTTATTTCCATTAGGATATTTTGCAAGTCTTTAAATTCTATCTTTTAACTACAACAAATTCACCATTTATTAATCAAGTACTTTAAGTCAGAACTTTGTCATCTTTACTCAGCTCATTTTTCAACCATAACATTCTGCTACCATAATCTTTATGTTCAGTACTCCTATTAATTTCCATCATAATTACTTATTTCTGTATTTCTTTAAAAACTCTTTATCCCCTATTGAACCTACATTCAAATATATCTCTTTCCAATCAGTTTCTTTCTATGCCTCCCTCTCAATACCCATATACACTACTATAACTTACAATACTTCCCATTAGCAAGTATTTTCACATCACTCTTGACTACTCTAACCTCCACTGGTCTCTCCATTCTCTAAATGTTTACAAGTACATAGAATTTTAAAAAAGAGTAGACAGAATCAGTGTATTTGATATTTTCTTTATTTTTTTTTTAACCTATGTAAAAGAATGAAAAAGGACCCAGGATCATGATACAATATATCCTTATTTAAAATGTCTTCATTACAAAAGGTAATGAAAAAAAAAAGTTTAAGTCTTCTCAGAGTATACTAACCAGCTACAATGTTCAGTATTTTATTAACTTAATATTCAATGATAAGAATACCTACACCAACTTAGAAGCTGCAAGTATTATGCTCAAAACAAGTCACTGCCATCAAGTAGGAGCCAACTCACAGTTGATCCTCCAGAGAGGTTTTCAAAAGCAGTAAATGGCTTAAGAGGAGACTGTTCTTCTTTCTTTAGAGTAGAGGGTAGATTCAAGCTGTGTTCCTTCAGATTAGAAATGCAACTCCTTACCATTAAGGCATCAGACTTCCCTAAGCATCATGCTTGTTAGGTGCCCTTAGTCAACTACAATTCACAGTGACCCTATGAACAATGGATCTGAACCTGCTCGATCCTGTGCCGTCGTCCTCATCTCTGACACACCTGAGCCCATCTTTACAATCACTTTCAATCCATCCTTCTGAAGGTTCTGAGGCCTGAGGATCAGCAAATCACTCCCTTGGGGCATTTATTTGGTTAGGATTAAGACATTTATGTGACTTTTCCCTATGCTGACTCTTTTGTATACATGGATATATTTACAGCAGGTATTTAACATCAATGTCAAAATATCATTTGCCAAATCTATGAACGGTTATAGGTATTGTTCCTGTCACCTGTTCAAACCTATTTGTCTTGCCTGTCTGCCTACACTATCCACTTGTAGATTAATGTTTATTACTGTTGACATTTCAGGATGTGTATGTATGTGTATATAACAGTGTTTACCTTTGTTGACTGTATTTCTTGTGTGCTTGTGTCCTCCCTTTCTTTGGCAATACTGTGACATTATAATATACTGCCTTTCTTTTCACCCATTTTAATATATGATTATCTACTCGTAGGGTTTTAGAGCATTTACTTCATATTACAACTTTTTAAAAAGATGACATAGTTCCCTGGTAATATATGAAAATTAGCCTGCTTCCAAACTTTATTAAGAATCAAACTGGTGTTCAAAAACATGGTAATCTTTAACAAATGATACAAACTTTATACCTTGTGTTTTCCTTGTAGATTCATAGCTAGGCATAAGTTACATTTCAAACAGTGGAAAAAATCTTCTTTTGGGCCAATCCTAACAAAACATATAAAAGCCGAAAGAGTAGATTAGTGATAATTTACTCATTATATAACACATGAAATTAGTTTTATTGCAGAAATATTAAAAAATAATGAAACATGAGCTAAAACACAGATCTCTCCAACTAGAACCAATAGGAAAAGAATGGTCTCCATCCATCTGCGTCTTTTTTTATTCTCTAAAATTTAATATGTGTATTCTTGCATGTTCAAATTATGAGTTTTGTTTCTTACAGAAGTCAATTCTTTCTATATATGCTGTTATGTAACTGCTGTACACTTAACAATAGATCCTGAAGATTATTCTCTACTTGGTGATACAGAACCATTTCATTCTTCTTAATAGCTGCAAGGTGCAGATGTGTCATTAATTTTTTAAAATAAAGTTTCTTGATGCTATACCTTACAATCTTTAGTTACTATAGTGATACAATTATCATTCTTTCAGATGTCACATATCACATAAACAAAACACTGATTATATTTTATAAGATTTCTAAAAACGAAACTACTAGGCCAGAGAGTTGTGCTGTTGTTGTTGTTTAATGCCGTCGAGTCGTAGACGACTCATAGCGACCCTATGAACGAACAGCCTGAGCACTGTTCGTACATAAGAGTTTCCAGAGGCAAGCCATTTCGGAAGTGGATGCCACTCCTGCTTCCAGGCTTGATTTAGTCGGAAAGCTCCAGCCAACACTGTCCACCATGGGTGCCCATTACTACGATTGGCACATCATTGTCACAGCCTTCAATAGTATTATAATAATACAGAACTTCAAATTAACATGGGACTCTATTTTAACTATTGGCATAGGCCTCAAAGCTCAAGCTGGGAGAATTTCCTATTGGCCAAGAGTGAGAACTCAGGCACTTTTACAGGAATAATGTGAGAATGCCTCGAAGCACGCACGCAC